AAACACTACCTGTTGATTTTGAGCATTCTCATCAAGAAGAAAAACTCTTAGAAAGATCAGATTTTAAAGTCAGTCATTCTGAGCCCAATACTAGTACAAATTACAGCAATTTCAAGGAAGTACAATTTTCTGATAACTGTGCCCCCATTAGCATGAGCAGACCAAGTTCCACACTAGGAGTTAAAACGAAGAATGTAACTGTAACTCCAGATCTTCCTTCGCACATTTTTCTTGAGAAACAAGAGCTGTTTGAACAGAGCAAAGTCCCACATGCAGATCACCATGTAAGAAAACACCATTCTCCCCTTCCTCACCATCAGGATTGTGTAGCTCCACACCTTTGTTCTTGTTTTATTTTTAAACAACGAGAACTCATTGAACAATGCAAAGTCCCGTATGTAGATTTTCACATGAGAGAATGTCATTCTCTTCCTCCTCAAGGTCAGGATTATATAGCTTCAGACCTTCCTTCTCCCATTTTTCTTAAACCTCAAAGCAAAGTCCCAGGTATAGATGACCACATGAGAAAACATAATTTTCCCTTTCCCCAAGGTCAGGACTGTATAGTAGAAAAGAATAATCAACATAAGCTTAAATCACACATTTCTAATATAACTGTTGAAGCCAAGTTTGATAATGTGATCTCCCAGTCAGCCCCAAATCAGTGTACATTAGAAACATCTGCATCTACTCCACCTTCAAATAGAAAAGCACTCTCTTGTGTTCGTATAACTCTCTGTCCCAAGACTCCTTCCAAGTTGGATAGTGGAATCTTAGATAAAAGATTGCATTCATTGGATCCTGCTACTAAAACAAGGATGAATAGTGAGTTTAACTCTGACCTACAAACTCTATCTTCGAGATCATTGGAACCAACCTCCAAATTATTGACCAGTAAACCTATAGCACAGGATCAAGAATCTTTAGGTTTTATAGGACTTAAATCTTCACTGGACTTCCAAGTCGTACAGTCTCCTCTTCCAGATAGTAATAATATTACGCAGGACTTGAAAACTTTACCTTCTCAGAATAGCCAGATAGTAACCTCAAGGCAAATACAAGTGAACATTTCAGATTTGGAAGGATATTCCATTCCAGAGGGGACTCCAGTATCTGCAGATCGGTGAGTCTCATTGTGATAACAAGCAAGCTGATGGAATTTGTGATAAAGGGTTTTAAATACTTAAGCAAATGTAAGTTCTTGGGAGAAACCATGATTTCTCTTAGAGGAGGTTATATCTGACTAATATGCTATAACACTTTCAAGGAGTAAATATGTACATGAGAGAAAGTGATGTACAGGGGTCTTCATAAGGTTCATGGAAAATTTGTATTAGGTTTTTGCCATAGGGCACATGTGCTCGCTAGGAAAAGACAGGGAGACATTGAGAGGGAAAGTGAGAAATCACATCCCTCTCCAGGATGGTGGGGGGAGAGGGTGGTGATGCTGCAGTCCCTTCTCCTATGGGATTTCCAGCAAGCACACATGCCCAGCGTGATTTTCAAGCCTCCAGATCAGGGACTCAAACTCCGTCACTCCTGTGGGAGTCCAGTGCCTCAGCTACCATTCCTCCTGGTGGCCCTTGACATGTATTTTTCAAAATTAATTACTTTGAGAAGAATCTTTGATTATCACTTGGTACAATGGACTAATTCCTTCTTTATTGTGTTGGCAATATGCTCAAGATCTTTTTTGGAACGTTGTAGGCTCTCCCTCTCTATCCCTTTCCTTGTCGTCCTTCCTTCCTCCCTCCCTCTCTTCCCTCTTGACTTCCTCTTCTCCTCCCAACTCTTCTTTCCTCCTCTCTCTCTCTGGTACCATTCATGTTTTACCTCAAATATTTAATATTTACAAAGATAAAAAAAGTTAACTTTAGACTGGAGAACCTAGGAGAAAACTTTTATCCACGTGATTGGTAGATTTCCAGCAAGCACACATGCCCAGCGTGATTTTCAAGCCTCCAGATCAGGGACTCAAACTCCGTCACTCCTGTGGGAGTCCAGTGCCTCAGCTACCATTCCTCCTGGTGGCCCTTGACATGTATTTTTCAAAATTAATTACTTTGAGAAGAATCTTTGATTATCACTTGGTACAATGGACTAATTCCTTCTTTATTGTGTTGGCAATATGCTCAAGATCTTTTTTGGAACGTTGTAGGCTCTCCCTCTCTATCCCTTTCCTTGTCGTCCTTCCTTCCTCCCTCCCTCTCTTCCCTCTTGACTTCCTCTTCTCCTCCCAACTCTTCTTTCCTCCTCTCTCTCTCTGGTACCATTCATGTTTTACCTCAAATATTTAATATTTACAAAGATAAAAAAAGTAACTTTAGACTGGAGAACCCTAGGAGAAACCTTTTATCCACGTGATTGATAAGGTTAACATCACCAGTTATGCAGCCAACATAATGCATCCCTAATGTGATGCCCTAGGAGGGTTCTCATGATCCAAATGCCACTCACTAAACATCACCTCTTAAAGGTCATAAATTCTTCAGCCTGTATATATACAAGCATATATGTATGTATGAACATAGATTTATGAAGCTTATTTATAAATATATATGTATAAAATACTTAAAAGCTGTTTTATCTTGAGATAATTTTAGGCTTACAGAGAAGTTACAGTGATAGATCAGAGAGTTTCTGTGTTGGCTATCTATTGCTAGGTAACATACTACTCAAAATACAGCAGTTTAAAATAGTCCTCATAATTCCAAAGTTTCTGTAAGTCAGAAATGCAGGCCTAGGTTAGCTGGTTACTTCTGGCTCAGGTTTTCTCAAAGGGTAAAAATAAATTATTGGTTGTAACTGTGGGTCCATCTCAAGGCTCAACAGGGAGGATGTGGCTTCCAAGCTCACTCACATGCCTTAGCCCAAGGCATCAATCGGTTCCTTGCCTCTGTAAGGCAACTCACAATATGACATTTCAGCTTCCCTCAGAGTGAGCAAGTGAGAGAACAAGAGAGTGTGCCCACGACCACAGCCATAGCCTTTTTGTAATGCAACCTTGCAAATGACATCTTGTCTTCTCTGCCACATTCTGTTTGATAGAAATGAGTCACTATGTACAGCTCACACTCAAATGTTGGGAGTTACACAAGGCCATGAGTACCAGGAAGTAGAGATTGTTGAGAGGTAACCTTAGATGTTGCCATTATACCCTTTACTGAAGTGTCTGCTTATGTTAATATCTTACCATAGTATCACAGCCATAAAACATTGATCATAACTAAGAAATTGGTAAAATACTATAAAGTATGAACTAATTTGGATTTCACCCATTTTTTTTTTTACAAACGAACTTTCTCTTTCAGATCCAACCCAAGATCCCACCTTGGATTTTACTTGTCCTGTCTCCTCCAATCTTTGCAGTTTCTCAGTCTTTCCTTATCCTTCATGATCTTGATACTTTGAAGAGTACTGATATGTTATTCTGAAGAATATGCTTCAGTTTAGCTAGCCATTACACTAACCGCTGGTCCTACTATTATTACTTTTTAAAGTTTGACCAGAGAGGCAGAGAGAGAGGGGAAGTGAGAAAGCAAGTTACCAGGTCTAGGATTTGAACTGTGGTCAGCCATGTGGGAACCCAGTGCTTTAACCATATCGCCACCTGCTGGTCCTCTCTGCTTTAACTTTGACCACTGATTTTAGTATCCATCAGTGGATTTTGGCTGTGTCAACTATAACTCTAGTGTTCTAATGATCATCTTCTGGCTTTCATTTCTTCTACATTTAGTAATTGGAATTCTTCTGTAAGGAGAGCTATTGTTCTTCTCCCTTTTATTTATTCCTTTAGCTGTTTATTTCCATCAGTATAGACTCAAGTGTCTAGTTATAATCCAATATTAGTACTATTATTTTATTGTCCTAGTTGTTGCAGTTTTAGCTGTTGAGAGCACTTTCTAGTTGGCACCTGTACCCTGTCTCAGCTCTGGAACCAGCCATTTAGCTAAAGGAAAACTACCCCCCCTTTTTTTTAATGAAAGTATTTAGAAATCAAGACAAGTTTTTTCTTTTCTTTTTTCTGAAGAGGTTTTCACTATAGGGCACGTGCGCTCTCCAGAAAGACAGAGATAGAAAGCTAGAAATCACCCCCCAGGGAGGATGGCCACATCGCAGTCCCTTCTCCTCCATTCTCTTCTCGGGATCTTGGGCATGCACGCACATGCACATGAGTTTAAGACACTGGGTCAGGGACTCGAACCATGGATGACTACATGGGAGTCCTGCGACATAGCCATTATGCCAACTTCTGGTCCCTCAAGGCATAGGTTTTAAGCTTACGTGTTGCTGCTAAGATGTCACCACTACTAGCCCTTCTAAGTGAATAAATCTAGAAATATATACGTATGTATTTGTTTACCCACATTTATATTTCCATATCTATTAGCCTGTGTGCATGCATGTATGTATATACACTATTTAGGTTGAGTATCTTTTTTCCATTCAGATTTCAGGTTTTTTTTAATTTTGGAAGGTTTGCATATACATGAGATATCCAAGGGATGAGATCCGAGACTAAACATGAAGTTTATTTTCTATTTTGTATGTACTTTATACACAGTGCTTGAAGGTAATTTTTACATGTTTTTGTATTACAGCATTTTTGTCTGCAACCTGTCACTTAAGGTTTGCAGTATGGAATATTTTATTTGTGGAAGGTTTAGATTTTGGAGAGTTTTCAATTAGGAATGCTAAATTTTATTTTCCTTAGAGATTTTTGCCTTAGGGCATGTGTGCTCACCAGAGAGACAGAGACAGAAAGTGAGAAATCACACCCTAGAGGGGATGACCATACCACAATTCCTTCTTCATTTCCTCTTGGGATTTTAGGCACACATGCACTCACACCTGGTGTGAGTTTTAAGCTGCCGGGTCTGGGACTTGCACCATGTGGAGTCAATAATGTGGGAGTCCGTGGATGTAACCATTACACCATCTGTTGGTCCTATGTATTTTTTTTAAACCATGAGTCTATATTGGCACCTCGGACTCCAATCTAGAAACACAGGGTTGACTCTAGACTTTACCCTTTGTCTTTTTTTGTAACTGCTTTCTCCAATAGTAGTAAGTCTGGCTCTTATTATCTAAAATATATTCACCTTGGTATATAAATAAAATAGTTTCAGAGTTCCTAATGCATACTCGCTTGAGAAACCAATTCTCCACCTAGATTGCAGTGTTCATGTATAGCTTTGAATGTAGCATTACAATAGCTAGTTGAAATACTGTTCACTAAAATTTCTTAGTTCAACTTCTCTCTTCCTGTTACCCTTCAGTATGAATATGTGATCCATTTATAATACAGTTAGGTTCCTTGTCACACTGTGCATTCTATCTTTGCCTCACATCCTGTGTTAACTTTTCTTTTTTTTTTTTTTTCTTTTTTTTTTTTGGAGAGATTTTCACTGTAGGGCGCGTGCGCTCGCCAGACAGACGGAGAGAGACATAGAGACAGAAAGCGAGAAATCACCCCCCAGGGGGGATGGTCACGCCGCAATCCCTTCTCCTCCATTCTCCTCTCGGGATCTTGGGCACGCACGCACACGCGCCCGGCGTGAGTTTTAAGCCACCGGGTCCGGGACGTGAACCGCGGTCGACTATGTGGGAGTCCAGCGACATAGCCATTACGCTAACTGCTGGTTCCCACATCCTGGGTTAACTTTTAAAAATTTATACGCTGTAAATTTCTCCGTGGTAATCAGTCCTATCCTCCACGGTAGTTCCGTATAAAGCAGGTCCATTAATCCAAAATTCCTTCATAGCATACCTTTATAGACAGGTTTTCTCCTGATCCCCAGCTCATGGCAATTTGTGGTCTGTTTCTTCCCTATAATCTTGCCTTTCCAGAGTGTTACATAAATAGAATCAGAAAATAGCTAACAGTCTTTTGGGTCTGACTTCTTTCACTTTGGAAAATGCATATATAAGATTCATCCATGTTGTGTGAGTCAGTAGTTGTTTCTTTTTATTGCTTTCATAATTTCTTTGTATTACAGTTCCACTGCACAGATTACCATAGTTGGTTTGTCTCTTCATTCACTGAAGGATATTTGAGTTGTTCCCAGCCGCCCAAGTTGCAGCTTTAACAATAAGATCTGCTATAAATACTTAGATACAACTTTTTTTTTCTCTAGGGTAAATACTTCAGAGGGGGATTCCTGAGTCACATTAATTATATAGGTAGATGTATTATTAGAATTATTAGAGCTAAACTAAGCTGGACTATTTTTCTGGAGTGGCTGATTATTTTGCATTCCTACAAATATTTTATGTACATTCTAGTTACTCCACATCTTCAGTAATGTATGATGTTAAGATATGTTAACCTCGTTTTTTTTGGTTTGTTTTTGTTTTTGTTTTTAGTTTTTGCTGTAGGGCACCTGTGCTTACCAGAGAGAGAAAGAGGGAAAGCGAGAAATCATCCTTCCCTCCGGGTGTGGGGTGGCCATTCCACAATCCCTTCTCTTCCATCTTCCTTGTACACATATACCCAGTGTGTTTTTCAAGCTGCTTGGTCCTGGACTTGAACTGTGCAATTGGCCATATGGGATCTACTCACCTTAACCACCACACTACTGACTGACCCTCAATTTTAATAATTTTTGTAGTTGTATAATGGTATCTCAGCATGGTTTTACTTTGCATTTCCCAATGGCTAATTATGATAAACACGTTTTTTTCTTTTTAAATTGACAAAGATTGCATGTGCTTGCCAGAGACAAAGTGTGGGAGAAAGCATCCCTCCAGTGGGATGTGTCCATGCCACAGTCCCTTCTCTGCTATTTCTCTTGTTGGGATTTTGGGCATATACATCTTCACCCAGATGTGTTTTCAATTCATTGGGGCCAGGATTTGAACTACAATCGCCATGTGGGATCTGGCTTCTTTAACTATTAAGCTACAAGCCTGCCCCGATGAACATATTTTCATGTGCTTATTTACTATTCTTTTTGGTGAAGTGCTTTTTAAATAGGGTTTTTATTTTTTTTTATAAGATGTTAAGTTCTGATACTTCTTAATGTAATCTATTTGTAAATTTTTTGCTGGATATATTATTTGCAAATATTTTCTCGCAGTACATGACTTGTCTGTTCATTCTCTTAACAGCCTCTTTTATAGAGCAAAGGTTTTAAATTTTGATGAAACTAATTGAGTTTTTTTTTTTTTTTTTTTGAGAGGTTTTTCACTATAGGGCGCATGCGCTTGCCAGAAAGACAGAGAGAGACAGAGAGATAGAAAGCGAGAAATAACCCTCCAGGGGGGATGGCCACGCCACAATCCCTTCTCCTCCATTCTCTTCTCGAGATCTTGGGCACACACACACACGTGCCCAGCGTGAGTCTAAGCCACCGGGTCCGGGATGTGAACCGCGGTCGACCACATGGGAGTCCAGTGACATAGCCATTATGCTAACTGCTGGTCCCGAAACTAATTGAGTTTTAATAGGTCATATAACCCATAAAGTGTTTCAGCACCTTAAAAATATTTTAATTTTTTTTTATTTCTTTTTTTATAAGAGATTTTTGCTATAGGGTGTGTGCACTTGTCACACACACACACACACACACACACACACAGACGGGGAGGTAGAAAGCAAAAAATCACCCCCCCCCCCAAGGGGGATGGCCATGCCGCAATCTCTTCTCCATTCTTCTCTTGGGATCTTGGGCACGTGCCTGGCATGAGTTTAAGCCACTGGGTCTGGGACTCGAGTACGTGGGAGTCCAGTGTGTATTCATTATGCCATCTACTGGTTCCCAAAATATTCTTCTTAATTCCATGGTTTTTGATAAAATAATTCACAATTATTTGTCATTATTCTCTTATAAGTAAGAAGCAATATGTCATTATTTTTCTAGTTAATTTTTTTCCCAGCAGATTGATTAGGGTGTTTCTAGGCATGGATTTCTTTGGTGCATCTTGTTTATAGTTTGCTGAATTTTTTAAACCTATAGGTATATGTCTTTCATCAAATTTGGGAATGTTTTAGCCATTAGTTCACTTTTTTTTTTCCTGCACCACATTCTTCTTTCCTAGTTTTCTGATGACACAGATGTTAGACCTTTTGATATTATCTTACAAGTTCCTGAATTACTATAGATTGAATTATTTCTATTAATCTATCATAGAGTTTACTAAGTCTTTGCCATTTCCATTCTACTATTGATCACATTCAATAATTATTAATTTTTTTAGAGAGATTTTTGCTGTAGGGTGCATGCTCTTGCCAGAGAGACAGAGTGACAGAAAGCAAGAAATCACACCCCTGGGGGTATATCTATGCCACAATCCCTTTTCCTCCATTCTCCTCTAATAATCTTGGACACGTACACACACACATCCATCATGAGTTTAAGTTGCCGGGTCCATTGTAGCCGACTACGTGGAAGTCTAGTGATGTAATCATTATGCCATCTAATGGTCCCCAGTAATTACTAATTTTTTTTAGTTGTAAAATATATGAATTTTTTTACGAGTTTTTTAAAATATCCCTTTTCCTCCATTCTCCTCTAATAATCTTGGACACGTACACACACACATCCATCATGAGTTTAAGTTGCCGGGTCCATTGTAGCCGACTACGTGGAAGTCTAGTGATGTAATCATTATGCCATCTAATGGTCCCCAGTAATTACTAATTTTTTTTAGTTGTAAAATATATGAATTTTTTTACGAGTTTTTTTAAATCTTAGGGCACATGTGCTCACTAGAGAGACAGAAAAGGTGAGAAATCACCCCCCACGGGGGATGTCCATACTGCTGTCTCTTCTCCATTCTCCTCTGGGATCTTTGGCAACCATGCACACGTGCCAACCAGAAGAGATTCTAACTGTGAGTGTCCAGCGATAAAACCTCTACACCTTCTGCTGGCCCCCTGAAGCTTCTTTTTCTTTCTTTCTTTTTGCTATAGGGTGTGTGCGCTATAGAGAGAGACAGAAAGTGAGAAATCCCCCCTCCACGGGGGATGGCCACACTGCAATCCCTTCTCCATTCTCCTCTCAGGATCCTGGGCACGCACGCACATGCACCCGGCATGAGTTTAAGCCTCTAGGTCCGGGACTCGAACCGCAGTAAACTACATGGTAGTCCAGCGACATAGCCATTACATTAACTGCTGGTCCCGAAGTTTCTTTTTTTAAAAAAAATTGTCAGAGGGCATGTATACTCACCAGAGAGAGGGGGGGGGTAGTAAGAAAGCACCCCTATGGAGCATGCTCATGCTATAATCTCTTCTTCTCCATTTCTACTTCCTTTTGAGATTGTGGGCATATGTGCATACATGTCCGGTGTATTTATCAAGCTGCCAGGTCCAGCATTCAAACTGCATAATCAGCCATGTAGAATCCACCCGCACCACAGGCTGGTCTTGAAGTTTCTTCTTTATAACTGATAATTCTTTGCTGAACCTCTCTCTCCGTTTGTATCGGGGTGTTCACCTTTACTTGTTGAAGCATTATATCCATTTTGTAGAGTTTTTGTCTAATAATTCTAGCATATCTCTCATCCCAGTATAGGTGTCTATTGATTGTCTTTTTCTGTGAGTTGAGATCTTTCTGGTTCTTAATGTGTAGGATATTTTGGAGTGTGTTTCATAATATCATATTTTTAAATCCTGCCAGAAATGATTTTGTTTTAGAAGTCAGTATGCTCAGTTCCAGTTAAAAATTTTAACTTGACTTCTGTGGGTTGTAATTCCAGTGTTGGTTCAGTTTTAGCTTTTGCATTGCTATTCAGATCTGTCTCGCATGTATGCAGTGGCCAGTCTGAGACTTGGGCAATTGTTTGTTCTGTAGTTTAGTTCTCAAAATGTAGATATGCTTCAGGGACACAAGCACAGTGTGCACAGCCCTTATCAGAATGAATGGGCCGAGACATTGGTCATGTATGCTTAGCCATCTGTGGTCTATGAAAGTTCCTTTGTTTTTAGACATTTGGTAGTTTGGAGGAGCACATTCAGGTACTTTGTAAAAAGTCCTTGATGTTTTTTCATAGTTGGACTAGAGTTTTGAGTTTTAGTAAAGAATACCAGGGGGGTGAAGTACTGCTCTCTCATATCGTAGGGAATATGATATCCACATACCATCACTAGTCTTAACCTTGATCGCTTGCTTGGAAAGGCAGTCTTGGCCAGGTGTCCCCTTTGTGAAGTTACTATTTCTCCCTCTGTCTTTGAAACCCAGTCATTGCCTCCAGCCCATACTCAAGGGGAACAGGGAAGCTTAAGCTTCATCTCCTTTGTCAGGTTTCTGCAAGTGTTATTTGGAATTTTTCTAAAGCAAAATTTGTCTCTTTTTTCCAGTTATTTATTTATTTGCTCTATTCTATTTTAATATGAATTCTCTATAATCTTGACATAAAAATACAACTTTAAGCTTCTGGTTCCCTCACTGAAATATAAACTCCTTGATGGAAGGCTCTGTTTCTTGTTTACCTTTTTACAGTCTGCGCATTTAACACAGTCCCCTTATTTGGACGTTAGTAAGATAAAAAGGGTAAATGAATATATTTTCACTTCAACTGAAAAGTACCATTTCCTCAGTTAAATTATATAATGCATTCTAAATTAAATTAAAAGTAGCTTTAAAATAAATTGAAGTAGACACGTGTATGATCACGTTATAAGAAGTAGCTAATAAATGAAAAGTACTATGGAAATAACAAGATATAAGATTGATATGTCCACAAAAGATTCCTTGTAACTTTTTTTGTTTTGTTTTGTTTTGTTTTTTGAGAAGTTTTTGCTATAGGGCAAGTGCACTCACCAGAAAGACGGAGAGAGACAGAAAGCAAGAAATCATCCCCGGGTGGGTGGCCACGCTGTAATCCCTTCTTCTCCATTCTCCTCTCGGGATCTTGGGCATGCCTGCACATGTGCCCAGTGTGAGTTTAAGCCACTGGGTCCGGGACTCGAACCACAGTCGACTACATGGGAGTCCAGTGACATAGCCATTACGCTAACTGCTGGTCCCTCCTTGTAACCTTAAATACCCCTTGAAATCACTTTGGGAAAGAAATACTGACTTTCAATAAACCAAAGATGTGACCTGTTCTCTCCTTTCTCTTTTTTCTTCAGATCACCAGAGAAAATTAAGACACCTCTTTCTGCTCCTCCTGGAAAATTATCATCTGACGCTGTCACTCAGATAACAACTGAAGGTCCAGAAAAGACCATGTTTTCCTCTGAGATTTTTGTTAATGCTGAAGATCATGGACATGGAACTCTAGAGCCCAGTAGCCAGAAGCTACCCAAAGTTCCTGTCAAGTTTGCTTCAGCATCTTCAGTCCAACAGATGACTCCTCCTCGTGGCACCAGTGGTAAGAGAATGTGATGATATTTTATATTGTTATACCAACTTTTATTTGTAATTATCTTAGAAATTTGTGTTTTGTCTTTCTAGTTAGAAAACCTAACTTTAATTTAAGCATAATCTACATGATTATATTGATCCTTTATTTACATAGCTATGAGTACTACATATATATATATATATATTTTTTTTTTTTAAGAATTCTTTATTTACTTATATATTTATTTTTTAAATTTGACCAGAGAGGGGACCAACAGTTAGCATAATGGCTATGTCGCTGGACTCCCACGTATTCGACTGTGGTTCAAGTCCCGGACCCGGTGCGTGCATGCCCAAGATCCCGAGAGGAGAATGGAGGAGAAGGGATTGCGGCGTGGCCATCCCCCTGGGGGGTGATTTCTCGCTTTCTGTCTCTCTGTCTCTTGTCTGTCTGTCTGGCGAGCGCACACGCCCTGTAGCTAAAACCTCTCAAAAAAAAAAAAAAATTGACCAGAGAGAGATAGAGTGACAGAAAGTGAGAAAGCAAGCTGCCAAGTCCAAGACTTGAACCATCATTAGCCATGTGGGAGTCCAGGGCCTCAACCACCACACCACCCACTGGCCCCCAGTTTATCTTATTTTTATCTTAACATGTATTGGATTTAATATTTGTGGAACTCACTAAGCTTTCATTTTTCCCCAAACAAAGGTGGGAACCTTACTAATTTTAAAGTATTTATATTTTGCACAAATCTATTCAAAATATGCTTTAACTTTTTCTACTTATACCAAAAAAAAACCCTATCTGTTTCACATATAGATAGGTATGTCTAAATGTAAAGAAAATTGTTTGGTTCAGTATTTAAATTACATTGAATTTAATTTAAATAACTATTCATATGATTATTGAACATTTTTATTGTGAAATAAAACATATCAAAAATTATATAGCTTGGGACCAGCAGATGGCATAATGGTTACATTGCTGGACTCCCATGCAGTATACTGCAGTTTGAGTCCTGGACTTGGTGGTTTAAAACTCATGCCAGGTGCATGTGTGCACGACTAGAATCCCGAGAGAAGAATGGAGAAGGAATTATGATGTGGCCAT